CTTTCCTTCCTTCCCCCCTCCCTCCCTCTTTCTTTCTTTCTTTCTTTCTTTCTTTCTTTCTTTCTTTCTTTTGCAAGCCCATCAAGAAGAAGAAAGTCCCATTGCCTGAACTAACCGGATTCGGGCATCTGAATGAGCTTATTAGACCTGAGATCTAATTATGCCTTTGGGTGCCACAACATTCCTCATTTTAACACGTATCTCGGCGGGAGGAGGAGGAGGAAGGACTTGGGGAGCTGAAGTCGGCGCCCTCCAAACGACAGGGGCGGTGCCATGGGTCCTGAAAACTTAATCTTTCAACTTTGGGAAAGTTAATTGCGGTGAAGGAGTGTGGCAGGAGGGAAATCGCCCTTTATAATCCAGGTCGCAATAGATATTCTAAGTTTATACCATTCTAGCTCAAGGGCGTTTAGCTGGATGCCCCGAACGCCCCCGTTGCATTCTTCAGGTTACTCCCAAACCCCGCGGGGAGAGATCCCCCTGGTTTCCCAGCAGATGTTTTATCATCTCCACTTTAAAGACTTTTGAATCCAGGCGAGCAGATCTGCCGCGGGAGCGCATTTGGAAATATGGCGGAGTCGCCCAGTTGCGGGAGGGTCAGTGATCGCGGCAGCTTCTTGGGCAATGGGGTTGGAAGGCTGGCCGGTTGCTCCTTTGGAAACCAGGGACTTTGGTGGTCCTACCCTTTCCAGTTTGCGCCCTTGAAGATTGGCTGCCAAACTCTGTACCCGGGTATGCTGCGCGTCGGATTAAACCGAGCTCCCCAAAGAGGGATTTGAAAAGGCAGGGAACGAATCTCAGAGGCGTCGTCCGCGGCTCTCAATTCTTCTCCCTTTGGGGGGCACATCCTGGGAGTCTCTATCTTCCCCGTCGGCCAATGTCGCCCTTGCAGGTGTGAGTTGTTTTAAGAAAGAAGCGCAGAGATTGAGGTTGGCTATTCAAGGCAATACAATCCGCCTCTTGGATGGAGAGAAGGCGGCCTAAGGTCCCGCTCCGCTTCTGCCTCCATTCATCCCCAAGGCTGCGCGGTCATTTTTTGCGCCGCATCGATTGCAATATCCTCAAGCGGGACCCGAAACTTGCAAAGTGGTGCGGAGCCCAGCGATCTTGCTCTCAAAGCGCGATCGCCTAAGGCGCTTGAGGCTGGATCGTGTCCACGGCTCCAGCTGGAACCCAGAAACTTCTCGGAGNGGGGGGGGTGCTATTCCTCTTTTCTCCCCGCGTGGAAGCGCCCATTCCTGAATCCATCAATTCCAGCGCATTTCAAAAGACATTGTAACCCTTCTCTTGAGGGTCTCCAGGCGAGGCAGGGATAGCGGCGGTGGAGAGACAATGCAAATACTATTAACAAAGGCTGGACAGAACGTGTCCAGTCCTGGATGTCCCCTACTTATTGGATTATGATTCCCATCATTCCCGGCCAGCTGAGGGTTTTTGGAAGCTACCGTTCCACACATCTGGAGAGCACCAGATGGAGCTCTAGCGGTTCCATCCGATTAAAGCTCAGGGCCCGCTAGTTGTTTTTTTTTAAGGCACGAGGGTTAACTGCCTCTTACAGGCACAGCTATTAAACTAAAGTGCTGTTGGCTTCACGGGATACTTGCGCCTGAGTAAATAACGTGTAGGATCGTGGCCTAATCCCTTGGAAGCTAACGGTGCAAGGAAGGTGCGGTGAAACTGTTGCTTAGCAAACCGGGGAAAGGGAAGAACAACATAAACTTTTAGAGACGGCTCGGTCCTTCCAACTGGCGTAGCCTAAGGCGCTGACCAGTGTCAACCGGAACAGGGCCTACTCAATTCGCCCAGTTGCTTCGTTTTCTACACATCAGGAGGATCTCCAGATGAGAGCAATGATTGGGTTCGTACAACCCAAAGCCCCAGGCGAGCCAAACATGCTACAGTAGCCCTACGGCCGAGAGACGCCACGCCAGTCCAGATCATCAGCACCTCGTATGATTAGTGTTACTGTTCCACTTTCGGATAACGGGGTAATCCTTTGCCCCTTATCTATCTCGGCCGAGGAGCTGAAGGTTCTTCGCGGGAAGGAAGCCCCCCCCCACGGGAGTTGGGCGGAACCTGCCCCCAAAGCCCCTTCCCCGAGAGAGCCGCTGCTGCTCTGGGGGGCCGCCGAAATCTTTGTCCCCCAGAAGAGCCCGAAGCACAAGCAGAACCCACCTCTCTTTCGCCTCCGCCGCTCGGTCTCGCTGCCTCCGGTTTTTAAACCAGTTGCTAACCTGGGTGGTGGTGAGGCCCGTGGCTTCGGCCAACTCCCTCTTCTCCCGGGGCGACGGGTAAGGATTGTGCGCGTACCACTCCCGCAGGACGCCCCGGGACTTCTCCTTGAAGCAGTAGCTGGTCTCCTCCCCGTCCCAGATGGTCCTGGGCAAAGGGAATTTCCGCCGCACGCGGTACTTGCCGACGGCGCCCAGCGGCCGGCCCCGCAGCTTCTCGGCCTCTACGTAGTGCGCCTTGAGCCAGAGCTGCTGGAGCTTGGGGTGGTTGTGCGGCGAGAACTGGTGACTCTCCAGGATCTTGTAGAGCTCGCGGAAGTTGCCCCGGTGAAAGGCCACCACCGCCTTGGCTTTCAGGACGCTCTCGTTCTTGTGCAAGTGGTCGCAGGCGGGCAGCGACCAGAGGAACCTGCCCAGCCGCTCCAGGTTGCCGCCCTGCTGCAAGACCTCGCAGACGCACGCCACTTGCTCCTGCGTGAAGCCGAAAGACGGCAGCATCGACATGGCTCCGGCCCCGAGCTGCTCCGGCGGCTGCTGCTGCTCCTGCTGCTGCTGCTGCTCCTCCTGCGCCGCCGCCGCCGCCACCACTCAGCCCAACCGCCGCGGGCTTGGCTGGCCGAAGGAAGCGCGGGGGGTGGCGGGCTGAGAGTTCCCCCAAGAAGAGCCGGGAGGAAAGGGGAGGCGCCGTCCCCGGCTGCTTATTCAGGTCCGAGCGCCCCGGGAAGAAAAAAAAACCTCGATCTGCTCGCTTCCCTTCTCCCCGGCAGTCAGTCGCTGGGCTCCAACCAGAG